TCATAGGTGCTCGCTAACAGCACTTGCCCCTACAGTCTGTTAAGGCTACACGGGGGATCTTTGTGTGGGGAGCGGTGGCGTAGTGGTTAGCGCGCTGCGCTATGAACCCGGCGACCCAGGTTCGATTCCCGCTCACGGCCAACACCGGTGACGATTATAGTCTGAACCGGTACTGGGCCTCCCCTAGGTCGACTCGGCCTCAAATGAGTACCTGGTGCGGTGTGTAAACATCACCACTAGGGAGACAAAGGCGGTCGGGCGTGGTGCTGGCCACCCACCCCCTCGTGTACCGTTGCGTGCCCGTGCTTCATTTCTGTTCCGATTATTTGCCTTCTCACTAAAAAATAAATCTGGCCACATCTCTCGCACCCCCGGTGAAGAGGACCCAGCCACTACTGGGCTTAGGTGAACGCAGCTTTTAATTTAGGCAAGGGAAATGTTCAATGGCAGAGTAGTGGTGACGCTTCCGTGGATACATTTTTTTTTTAAATCTCAGCACCTTTTTCACTTCAGTCACATTTTGGTTTATGCACAGAGACACGTGGCGGGTTGAAGGCTACATCGGAGAGCAAAGTCGACCACACGTTGTCTATTCTTTGCCAATTACATTTTTAATGGTTTAAATTGTATTTTTATGATTGTTACCAGTACTTTATATATTCTTTACGAACTAGTAACAACAGCAAAGGTACAACAATATGTTCAAGAATAGAGACTGACATCAGTCAGGCATTGCGACATACAACATATATATGAACCAAAATACATTCTTGCACACGTGATTCCATGCATCTGTAGGAATCGAAATTAGACCATTTATCGATCAATACATTGCTATACCTCTAATACGCATCATCATTGGAAATGCTGCCACTGTTTAATGGAATTCAATGGTTATTTAATGTTCAACGATCAATAGCAATTACAATCTTAAAATGTTCATATGAAGCGTTTATCAACATTGCCTGCCCTTGGTATAGGCCTGTGTAAGCGTCTATGTTGCGAACCTAGGAGTGTTTAATACAAAAACAATATGGGGCATTATAACATCTACACTACACAGCGAGTTCAACTTAACACTCCCGAATTTGTAATGAAACACGGAGAGAGCCAAAGACAAAAGCCTTGCTCCAGCTTACCTGTGGAGCAGGCCGCATTGTTGAACCACGTGCTCACAACTGGTTCTTCCTCGTCCTTCCCACAGGAGAAGAGTGGCTCAGTGGGTGGCGGGAGGGGTCAGTGGAGACACAGCTGCTGGTCCATGAGCCCAGACCAGATATTTCATTTGCAGGTACTGCCATTTTTTAAATCCTTTATATTAAGTTCGCTTGCTTGCTTGCGTGCGTGCTTGCTTGCTTACGACCGTGCAAATCTTTCGGTCGTTTTTTAACCCACTTCCCGTGATCCAATCGAGCTGACATTTTCCACACAGACTCGTTGTGCCAGACAATTAATGTTCGTGAAAAAAATTCCCAAAATTTTACACTTTTTAGGCAAAAAAAATGTATTTTACATATATTCAAATAGAACTCATTCATCGCTTTGGCTGAACGTCACAGTAGAAGAGCCCAGAGCGTAACCCCTCCACAGACCGTGGCGGAGTAGCGCAGTTGGTAGCGCCCTCGCTTCCCATGCTAAAGGTCGCGGGATTGATCCCCGCGTCCTCCACAGGCGAATATATTTTTAAATCCTTTATATTAAGTTCGCTGCCACGCATATAAAGGATTTATAGTGAAAAACTTTGTTTTTACGGGTTATACTTATTAAATCCTTTATTAAATCCATTATATTAAGTGTGCTTGCTTGCTTGCGTGCTTGCTTGCTTACGACCGTGCAAATCTTTCGGTCGTTTTTTAACCCACTTCCCGTGATCCAATCGAGCTGACATTTTGCACACAAACTCGTTGTGCGAGACAATTAATTTTCGTGAAAAAATGTTTTCAAAATTTTACACTGTTTAGGGAAAATAAATTAAATATTTAATTACCAATTGCTTAATAATGGCAGACAATCATCTGACCCATAGGTGGCAGCCATCTCAAGCCAGAGGACGAGAGGACTCTAGCCGCCACGCATATAAAGGATTTAAAGTGAAAAACTTTGTTTTTACGGGTTATACTTGTTTTATTTTAAGACCCACTCAGCAATTTCTACCTCTTTTTGTCAGAAGCGACCTGTTCTATCGCAAATGGATAGCTCAACGAAGTGGCTTGTCATCATGTGGAAATTAATTGCAGCCAAATACTGTAAACCAGTGGTGCTTAACCTTCACAGCAGCCGGCAGCCCTTTGCTTCTCAGAAGGGGCATCTCGCAATCCCAGGGAATGCGTGCACCCCAGGTTAAGAAACACTTCTCGAAAATGCATGTTGATGGTGGAGGGAAAAACCGGAGGACCCGGAGAAAAGTCAATGCAATCACGGGGTGAACGTGCAAACACTAAATATACAGCAGCAGGCGTCAGAGTCGGGATCGAATCCACGACCTTCTGTATACCAGGCGAGGTAGTCAACATCTCACCACTGAGAGGCGGCGTAACTAACTGGAGCGATAACAATTTCTTGATACGGCCAACAAGGGGCCGTCCATAAATGACGTCACGCGATTTTGGACGATTTTTGACCCCCCCTCCCCCATCGTCACACGGCGTCACAAAAAGTCAGACCCCCCCCTCAAATATGACGTCACAAAGCTCTGCCACCCCCCCCAAAAAATAAAACATGCTTCAAATCTCTTTAAAGTATTGTCATTGTAGTGCGTATTTAATATGCCGCTGCACTCTGACGTAGGAGAAAACATTTATTTAAAAGTCTATTTAATTAAGTAGAACGTGTTGTCTATCTTTATTTAAAGTTGCGCATTTTGATGTGACGTCACATTTCTCAACCCCCCCCCCCCCCCTTCGTCACACATCGTCACAAATGTCTGACCCCCCCCCCCAGGTGCGTGACGTCATTTATGGACGGCCCCCAAGAGTGAATGATGTGATAACCTTTTGAAATGAGTGGGTTATGAAATGATCCAACCTTATGAGCTAAATCAATAAATCCGTACGTCGAACGTTCTGAGAGCTTAGGTGATACCAGTTTCTACTCTGGCTCATTGACTGTGTGTGTGTAGAAGAAAGGCCTCACTTGTGGCAGTGATTTTGTGTGCCATTTACAAATGAGTAAAACAAATATTCATCTAGGTCACGTTGCACAGCACTTGACTCACAATCAAGGTGAGTTCAAATCCTGGTCGCGGGTCGACTCAGCACCATCATCTCTCCGATGTTGATTTAAAAAAATATACATACTGCATTTAGCCAGACTGCACCCTTGCCCTAGGAAGGTGGAATTTCTACTGTGGGTTCATGGGCCACACCATCAGACATGAGCACTGCCCATGAGTTGCAAGTGAAAAAAAAAATGTTGGCCTTTTTCACTTACAAAATAAATGAAGGCCGTTGATAACAGTGTTCACTTTTGGACTGTGGAGTACAGTATTAGTGTTGACTTTTCATATTTAGAAACATGTACAAAGTCTACAGTGATTATTCTAAAATGATTTTACAGCCCTTTCGTAATACAAAGCTGGATGGCCACCCCATGCCTTTGTCAGTCGTGGGGATTGTTTGGCCAGACATGACCACACCAGTGAAGGGAAGAGGTCTAAGGACTTCTTCATATATCGATTGCCACGGATGTGAGCCATGGTCAGCAATCTGAGGTCCCCAGTACAGTGCGCTAACACCAGGTACTTTGAAGATATCCTTGAACTCGGAGTAGGTGAGAGTTCATTGACACGTGTCTCTTGAAATTAAGAATTGGGAAATTAGAAATGAAATGCTGTATAATCTTCTAAAACCAATGCACGTAAGGTTTATCTTTGTAAAAATGGCATTCCAAAGTATGTCCCCCTTTATCAAGAACACACATCTTGTTGATGCCACCACACCTCGCTACGATTGCTTGCTTCCTCTTGCGAGATCCCTCAATCTCCAAGCTCTAATCGTAAAAGTTTTCTTCATTAATTAACTTTTTTATGTTATTGCTTCTGCCATAGAGGACTGGGGTCACGAGCAAATGAGACTCATCCTGTCTCTTGTTTTCTCCTGGTTAAACACAACACGATTGAAACACAACCATCTGGCTTTAGGTACGTTTCTGCGGTCTACCGACTTCTGGATGTCCACCTCCGATTAGCACAACTGGCTACGTACTGAGCGAAACAACTTCAACATACAGACATGTAGCTCTATACACACATTCATGTACCTATCTGGATTAACTCCCCTCTATCCTGGCGATCCCCCACGTGTTCCACCCATTGCAACCTTCTCTTCTCGATGACATCTTCAGCACTTATATTCCACACTTTCATATGTGGTGCTGTGAACACAGCGAGCAGCCATCCCCATAGTGTGGTGGGTGCGAGGAGAGCATCCCGTCATCCAAATGCATCAATTAAAATCACTGTTGCATACACGTGGCTTGTCAACCATGAATATAATTGGATGAATTTGATGCCACTCCAGGAGATTCATTGGTAGATAAGTGCAGATGATATTTTAAAAATTGCCACCACCTCCAGATCCCTCTTGTTCATTAGAAAAAAAATCAAATAGCAAGAGGAGTTTAACACGTAGTCGACTATCGTGACCAATATCACCCATAATACAGGTTTTGGGTTAGATCGCACGAATAAATAAATGTGTCGTTAAACCCGCTACTAACCGACACAGCCAATTGGTGAGGTTGGTCACGTAAACAGAACGTGCCAATTCGTTACTAGTACAGCACACCGGTGTGTTGGAGAGCAACGCCACAACATTTACAATTGGAGTACGACACATTTATATATTTACGCGACCTAACCCAAAAAAAAAACCTGTATCAAGGATGAAGAGGACTCTGCATGGATGCATGAAAGGGTGCAGATAATAGGAGCACAAAAATGAGCTGCACGATGTTTCATCGTCGCACCGGAAGCACTTTTCAAACAGCAACAGAACAGCGCATTAATACATAAGGAGATGGTTTATTGGTAAATTTTTTACATACCATATTACATTAGTGCCAGTTTAAACATACAAAATAAGTTTTTTAAAAAACGGAGAACGAATGTACATTGCTCTTGAAAGGACAACATTTTTGTAAATCGCTACCTTCCTTTCGATCAAAATGCGGCGATCAGATCCGAGCGCACGCATCTTATGCGATCGGTCACTTGCGCGCGTACAGTAATACATCGTTAGACAGTGTCGGCGAGCGGCTGAATGGTCCACGGATGTGACATGACAAATCGTCCGCAGCATCCACACGAGATTCAAATACGCCATCGTGCGCTGCACATGCCGTATTCCCCTGATCATAAGATGCCCGCTACCCCCACCCCCCCATCCACCTCCTCCCCTGTAATTTAAAAGTTTGAAGGTCTTATAATCCGGTAGATGTGCGTATGCGCTGGTGTGACCAGATCTGCGGAACGTTGACACCGAACATGTGCTTGGGGTGTGTGTCCCAGAGCAGCTTGCATTGCTCTTTCCGGAACATCATATAATCCAGAGACAACGGTTACACAGCGGGGAACGCGTTCCGTTGTCATACGTCCCGTTCTGTTCCCATGGAATGTTAAAAAATTGCAGCAGATTTGTGCCGAGTTTCAAGCCAAAAATGAAAACATTAACTTACAAACAAAAATCCCAACGGTTTTTTCTTTTCTATTTTCACGCTTTTGAACAAAGTGGTTTGTGAAAATAATACACGACCGGGTGGAGTTCCATTGACAAAAGTGAAACTTGACAGCGTTCGAGAAAATTTAAATTTGGCAAAACACACATAGACATGTAGCACCTACTAACATCGTTGTTCAAAACGAGGTTTATTTGTTAAGGAAAAAATTGGTTTAATTTTGGCAAAAGCTAATTAAAAATCTCAGATCATTGGTATTAAAAAAAACACTATGTTGCTATGGTTAATTGATCTTTAAAAAGTTAATTCTCTTCTTTTTGCTAGGTCTCGTGTAACTTAAAAACAAAAAAAACAAGTAATTAATGTCAAATGTTCTACATAGCGTCATTCAAACTATTTGCTCTGTTGTACTCTCACTAATGTCACAGAATTCACAAAAAAGCACCACGTGTTGGTGCAATTACATTCATCAGAACAAACTTGTGGACACAGCATGGGCTAGGTAACGTCATTTTGCGTGTTCAGAATAGAAGGCACAGGATTTTTTGAGAGCAAGAGAAATTTTCTTAAAAATCACACGATAAATACACAACAGACAGGTAGTGGTTAATGCAGTCGTGCACTCAATATTTGGACCAAAAACTCTGCCGCATGAATTCCAATTTTTTCTTTGCACGCGTACAAGCAGCCACACGTGCAGAAAACCACAAGATGCACGCAATTTCCGCACGTTCTCACACATGCGCAATTACAGCAACGAACGCACGCACACTCGCGCTGGAAGACACGTGCGCCCATGTTTACGCGTGCGCGCACGCAAGGGGTCAGATGGCTCATCTCGATGAATGTTCACCGTCATCCCAATTTTCTTTCTTTCTGCGTCACGATAACGTACGGCACACACATCCCCCCCGACGCCCGGTGTTTGGTACGCTTCATCGCGTGTGTGCGTACACGAGCGCGCACGTTAAACGTATAGGAGATTCCGTAACTGGCTTCAAAAAGACACGCGCATGCCAACAATCGCACGGACACTGCGTTGCAAGCAGTAGTCGCGCGCACAACCAGCTTTGTTTAGTTCTTTACAAACCTATTTTGGGCCACGCACGCACACACAATTCAGCAGCCGGTCATTTTCACAAAGTGCATAGCGCAACAATTGGTACGGTTTTCTTGGTCATGGGAGGAAACGTGAGAATCGAGAATTACGCCCTATCCCTTCCTGGGCGGGTTGGTTGCGGGGGGTGAGGGGCTGGCGGGGAAATTTAGCTGTGCAAAAAAAAAATGATATTTTGCGTCGGCTTTTTTTTTCCCCGCAAGGCACGTAAACACGTCTACCAGGCATAGGTTGTGCACGTAAGCCCAACGACACAAGACCCATGGATGTGTGAGATGGATACAATTTCTTGGAAGCAAGAGTTCGTGAGAGGTTCATTCAAAGGAGAGAATTCAAACGCGGGCTGGGCAGAGGTTGGAAGCGTTCTGTGCTCGGCTGTCGCACGAGCCAAATCTTCGGGTGACAATCTCCGCCGGCTACGTGCGGGCGTTCTTCACCCCAGGATGATGAACAGTTTTGTTTAAAATGCAGGCTTCGCCACACTTTCATCGCGGCGATTAAAAAAAAAGACAGTGGTTTACAAATGATGCTCAAGAAGACGCCCAAGCCACCACCTCCATCTGCTCGGAGCCAGATAGGTAAATTCCACGTGGCAGGAGCCACGGTTAAAATAGCATAATGGTTTTTGAAGTCAAATGCTACGGATTTGAATCGTGACTGGATCGAGCTGTAAAAAGTATGAAGAAATCTCGGAAAACCGAGCATCTTTGCTGAATATCTCACCAAGATTATACGTGCTCAACGATCGCTACGCGACGATTAAACAGTCTGCTCGTCGCCGCGCGACAGTCCAGCAACAAAGAAAAGCGCCCATCAAGCTTACAAAACGACTTGATGTCCATCGACTCCGCAAAGTGTCCACATTCATCGCTGACCTCTGGGACCATTTAAAACAATCCATCAGAGCGCCATGGGCAAAAAGTTTTTTTTCGCAGCCCAGTTTGATGCAACGCATCAGACGACGCACACGTATTTCTTCCACCACGCGCGCGACAGACTCTTAATCGCCTTGTGCTTGGACGACGAGTTCTGCTGCTGCTGCTGCGGGTGCTGCTGCTGCTGGTTGTTCTGCTGCCCTTTGACGGCGCGTCGCTCGGCCTCGCGCCTCTCGCGCACCGCCCCGGCGATGGCCGTGTCGAACACCTCCTTGAGGTTCTTCTGCGTGAGCGCCGAGCACTCGACGTAGCCGAGCGCGCCGATGCGCTGCGCCGCCACGCGCGCTGTCGCCGGCGGCACGGGCTGCTCGCGGGCTCGCGACAGCTCCACCAGGACGCGCACGTCGCCCCGCAGGTCGCACTGCGTCCCCACGAGGACGAGGGGCGCGCGCGGGCAGTGAGCCCGCAGCTCAGGGGCCCACTTCTCGGACACGTTCTGGAACGAGCTCGGGTTGACGACACTGAAGCACAGCAGGAACACGTCCGTGTTGGGGTAGCAGAGCGGCCGCAGTTTGTCGAAGTCGTCCTGAGAAGGGTGGGCGGGGGGGGCGAAAGGTTGCGAGTTTTAATTTTGATTCAGTCGGTCATATTTGTGTGCGTGTGTCTCAGCGTGTTTGGGGAGTGGGCGTGGTGCTGGCCACCCACCCCCTCGTGTGCCGTGCCAGGCTTCATTAGGTGCTCACCAACAGCACTTGCCCCAACAGTCTGTTAAGGCTATACGGGGGATCTTTGTCTATTTGACTTTGTGTGGGGAGCGGTAGTGTTGCAGTCAGAGCGCTGCACTATGAACCCGGTGACCCGCTCACACGGGTTCGATTCCTGCTCACGGCCAACTCCAGTGAAGATTATCCGAACTGGTCCTGGGTCTCCCCTAGATCGAGCCTCAAAAGAGTACCTGGTGTGATGTGTAAAAACCATTAGCCCTGGGGGAAACAAAGGCGGTCGGGCATGGTGCTGGCCACCCACTGCCTCGTATGCCGTGCGGGCCTTCCACAACTTCACCGAGTAAACCCGATGATTTTACTCGTGATTCGTGTGTGGAACTGAGTGTGGCCTAATCGATTATTTGCGATTTCATTCGTCGAGAGCGACTGGTTCGGGTGACCCCTGCAGCCGTTTGGAGGCGCTGCAATCACGACGTTAAAAAAATAAATAAACAAGAGGAATTAATTATTGCATCGGATCGTGGAAATGCATCAAACTGCAAGACAAGCGAATTGCCGCAGGCCCAATGTGTGTGTGTGTGTGTGCAGAACAGGGCAGTGTCTAATATGTCAGTGCCATGCTAACTTTAGAACAGCGGTGCCAGGTTAGCACCAAATGTGCAAGGATTAACTTGGCAATGGTAGGCACCACATGTTGCAATGGACTGACCTTTTCCGTATCTTAACTTTAAATATATATATTTTAATATACATGGACCTGGCTTTATATGCATCTCAAATACATAACAGATTATCTTCTACGTCTTAATTACTTGTATCGAGCATCCCCACCATGCACGACCGCCAAGTGAAGTCAACATGAAGCAACGAATTTGACACTCGCTCGCAACTAGACCGCGTGCGAGCGAGTTCAGGTACACGATCTCAATCCGGGTCACGCAACGACTTGCCATGCCTAAGAGCTTCCCCGATTCCTGCCACACAAATGTAGAATTTCCATAGATGGCTCGGAAGAGGATCACCGCCCCAAAACACACACACACCTCGCTGCGTAGAGCGGAGGCTCTTCATGGCCTTTGTGGCTTTCGATAACGACCACTGGAACTCGTGAGAAGTGCTGGCGTGCACTGCGCCAGTGCGTGTGTACGTGCAAGGCGTGGAAGCATCTCAGTCGGTCCACTGCGCTTCGAACCCGGCGTCCAGAGTTCGATTCCTGGCCACAGCTACCATCAGTGGTGCTTATCCGAACTCGTCCCGGGCTGCTTTTAGATCGACTCAGCCTTCCTTACATGTCTATCTGATACGGTGTATAAACAGCAGAACTGGAGGGAGACAAAGGCGGCTAGGAGTGGCCCTGGTCATACCACACGTGCCGTGCGGACCTTCATTAGGTGCTCCCTAACGGCACTTGCACTAAAAACCCTGCCTAGGCTGTACGGGGAATGTTTGTCTTTATGTTGTATGCTGGCACGTATGTACGTGTGTAGGCATGTGGGCGTGTGGCAAAACGCATGTTCCTGTTGTGAGCACGTGCCATGGGCTTGCCAGGACTTGCCACTCACCTGCCCAGCCATGTCGCAGAGTTGCAGTCTCATAGGCCTCCCGTCCACGCTCACAGATGCTGCAGAGAGAGAGAGACGGACAGGGAAAGTGGGGGATAAGTCATAACATCAAACACAGCCTTCCAAGGATTCCCCACGGCAGCCCCTCCCGTAATGTCACATCACCTCATCGCGACATGAGCTTTAATCTCAGAGGCGTCATGTCCAACACAAAACAGCGGGAATCACATCGATGCCATCGGATCTCCGTAACCACACTATTATAAAACCTCAAATGTCCGAGGTTCACAGCTTAAATCGATTAGTTGATTATGCGACTGCTTAGGCAATGCCTGTCACTATTTAAAGCCAGCACTACTGACGTTTTGGGTTCTGATCGAGCACTCTCCACTACAGTAATCATCTTAAACTGAATGTCATCACACTTCCATCTAGAAATATTGAACATTGGAGCTCACGATATGTGCATCCAATCCCGTGAGGAAAAAAATAATCTTCTTGGTTCTTTCGGTAAAGTCACGTAGAAGGGAAGTAATAAAATAATAAAAATAAAACATAATAAAATTATTCTCACGACGTTGTTTCATTCAGACGCTGTCGCCTCGACAGACCTGGTTTTCACCTGAGGACGGCTACTTGCGTTGTGGCCGAAACGTCGTGAGAATAATTTTATTATGTTTTATTTTTATTATTTTATTACTTCCCTTCTACGTGACTTTACCGAAAGAACCAAGAAGATAAATCCCTGCAGTCACGAAAGCTTTAAATCGAAAAAAAAATGTTTTCTAGATTCGTACATATCGTATGTAATGGGTCCATGTCATCCCTGCAGCCACTAGTGGCTGCTACATTCACAAATATGTAAACTAAGAATTGAATTGCAACTCTGGATCGCAGCTATTTCTTCAGTCCCCATGGGTGGGGTGATTTTGTTACACCAACCTCGAGGCAGTCACCCCCATTATGCAACTCCAGATGTTAACAGATCACAATTAAAATGAATTCGTTGAAAATGTAGCCGATTGATTCATGCCGAGTTATTTTGAATCGATCCGTCACTTCGAATGTCTTGGGCTCTAATAACGCACACCCCACTCTCGTAATTCACGTTACACTCCATACTTGGCACCATTAATTATTGTACTGTAAATTTAAACTCTGAGAGTGGAAAACTACGCAGCAGTTTGAGGTGTCCTCCGTGCAGTATTGTACAAGTTTAATTGTAAATCACAGTAACGTACCAGCCACGCACCTACAAGCATGGCTTGCTTATGGCCACATTTCAATCCCTTGTCAAAATACATTTATTTAAAAGCTAAGATTTAAATGTTCTATTTTAACTTTAAAAAGCGGTGTTACCACGTTGCACTTTATTATATCCAGAGCAAATAAATCGGGCTCACTGCCTCCACAAGTGTTTTTACTGCACTTATCCACCGACTCAAAGTCACTTTGACCAGTTTATAGCGCACCAGGGTTCATTATCTATCTTGTACACGGGATATGCTGGCGGACACGTGGTAGTGAGGACCGCGCACATCACCAGATGACGGGATGGTGGCCGATGGGCCGAGACTGGCAATGGAACGGCGGCCAAAGGAGGGAACGCATCCGAAAGGGTGACCACCACGGACATGGAGCGATGGGCATGAGTTCACGTGCAGGAATGAGATGAGTGATGGCAGCCACTGGAACGCAAGAGATGGCTGGCTAACAAGCTTGTTTGGTAAGCCTTCATCCAGCGGTGGAGAGACCATGGCCGATCATTAATGCCATAATATTAATCGAAGCACTTAATATCCACGTGTATAATTACATTCTAAACCTACAGTAATGTATTAGTATCGATGTTGCCTGTATAGCTGCAAAGATTAACAGTGTACATCCATATTGCAACTCTAAACTATTTCAAAACAGGGTATATTTTTACTTTTTGTTGTTACAAATTCTGAACGTATTGTATTTTTAGTTTTAGATTACGTAAAGAAACGTTTGTTTTTTCCATTTAAGAATTCAGAGAATGAATTAGTGGTGGTGTAAATAGTGGCGTTGTGAAACAGCGAGGCTTACTTTACCTGTTAATCGCGCCTCTAAAGTATGCAACAACAAACGACGACACTTTACGTGTTACACAAATCTGAGAATGCGCTGAACTTTAAGCGTCCTTTCGATTTTTTTTATTTTAGAGTTTGGGGGCCATGCTATAGTAATGGCTCGCGCTTGCGATGGAAGCAACACGAGTTTGATGACCACTTTCATGACATCATACATACTTGGGGAGTCCCAACATTTGACTTGCACGCAAACTGGCCTAAAAATATGACCCGCCATTCATCAATCTCCGTGGAATAATAATAGACAGACTTTTGGCCATGCACTGCTGGACAAACTAACTCCTCAACACACGATCATGATGGTTCTTTGACCATACTTCACCACGCTGGTCCAGTGATAGTTGGTGAAAAGGCACGGAACTAAGGGCAAGCTTGGGGTGTCACTCGCCACTGATGATAGTCATGGCCAGGAATCGAACTCAGGAAAAAGAGATGCTGTACACACAATACACAGAATGAATAACTAAATATATATATCAGAATGGCTCTGCAAGTAAATACTCTTAAGGATATATCAACATCACCGATATAAAGTTTGTGAAAAACATCCGGCCTACATACACTCTGCCACGTATATGGGTGCTTGAGCACTCTAAAGCCAATTATAGTGCGTTGGTGATATAAAGTCACGAGATAAATACATACAGTTGCTCTATGCCCTGGAGGGCTTTCAGTCGGATACAAAGTTGAACAACCCTGGAAGATAACACGTGGTGGAGTGGAAATGCTTCTGGAGCGACTTCAAAAAATGACCTTTAACCCAACCCCAGACGATTGTTAATCACGTGTCCGTCAATAAAGGCAAGCTCTCGTGGTCACAACAATTTAAGTACAAAAAAACATGTAAACGTCGTTGCGTATTGCGGCCGAGGGCAATCTGCTCGGCAGGTTTAAAAGAAGAAGGTTACGGCTCAGTTTGCGAATTGCAACACCGCGCCCTCTGTGGCTGGGAGGGTCTCGTGAGTTGTGTGGGGGGGGGATCATTGACCTATGGGCCAGTTTGCAGTGCCAAAGGTTCATTTCCCCAAGTAAGGCCACTGCGGTGGATACAGTAGCAGCGAAAAAACGCGATTTGATCGTTTACTTTGGTGTGTCGAGCAGTGGATTGACAGAAGGGATGTGTGCATGTAGTGTATACTGCATTGTAAAAAAAACACGTGAAAATCAGGTGGAATTCCAACGGCTGTTACTGTAGAGAATTTACAAACTAATTTATAGCGCTGCAATACAACCGAATGGGATCTCACCCTGGTTAAAGGACATTCAAAACTGAAGTGAAACGGGCAAGGACATGTACTTAGGCGACACACTACTTAAGAGGACCATTTGCCACTTGTAATGAATGAGTTGACAAAATAATGCTAAATGCCATTTTGCCGTCGAGTAAAGTCTAGCGAGGAATATTGTTTTCAATAGCCACAATGTTGCTGTGGGTGCCTACAAATCGGTCTGTATGGGTTTAAAACAACATTCGCAGGAATAACATCCTGGCTTGCAACTGAGAAAAAAACCCTACAGCTGCTTCACGCTTTGTTTGAATAGCTGCAGATTTGTAAGACGCGAGCGATACGCAAGGGCACATTTCGCTGCAGCAAGTGAAATGTCTGCGCATCACGACGAGCTAAACGGTGCCATGGGGAAATTCGTGAACCGCTAAACACTTCAAAATATGACGTTCTAGCAGTGTAAACTTTGCCGAGGGTCAGGCAGTCGAGGGAGGGGGGCCGTGTGAGACCCGTGATCAAAATATCTAAAATATAACACGTGGGTTGCCAATTCGGCTCGAAATGTTACATGTTTAAAAATAACTCGCATCCGTCAAATGCATACACAAGCCTTCCAACGAAAACGAAGATGCAGTGTCATTGTCGAATGTATAGCTTCGTCGTTTGAAATTGTGCTTGGGGAGCATCAACCAAATTATTGATTTACAATCTGCCAATGTTCACAGCATCATGACATCTTCAAAATAGCTGCAGATTTTCTTTTTTGGGGGGAATATTAACATTTTGGCTAACCAACGCGTGTAATGTGTACACAACACACATGCGCACGGCTTGTAAGCAACGTTTAACCAAGGTACCCCACTCCGATTATCACCTCCTAAAATCAACAACTCTCTCTAGCGCGCACACACACACACTCTACAGGACCACTGGCTACAGAGATTAATTTTCGTGGAGGGATCAACTCACATCGGATGCAACGAGACCAACAGCGCCCATCACGCATGTGGTTAGTGCTAGCTGGCCCTGGGGTCATAGAAATGTGGAATTAGTCCAATGTGTAGTCGAATACGTAATTGGGTTCGTAATTCACCGTGCGTGTAAACCTGCGCATGCTTTATCACAGTGCTATCATTAGAAACCGATTGACAACAGACACACGTGTTGGCTAAGCCACTAACCATGTTTGTGTATTGCTTGTTGTAACGTTCTTACTCGCCCCGACTGGACATCTGTGAACAAAGAGCTTAATAGCTCATCGGATTCCTACAGTATTAATACATATCCTGAGAACGTTTCAGGCAATGACCCTCATTGTCTACTACCTCGCCAGTGGAGCGTGGAATGTTCACCACCGGCTCAGGACCATGTACACGCAAACTTTTAACAAGAAATGTAATACACATCGCAACATCGCTGGCAACACGGGCCATGTTCAGTTTTAAAGTTGCGATCGTACACGTATGCAGGCACACCACTTAAAGCGAGATAAATCACCGAATCGAAACACCTCTGCACACTCGCCCATGTCATTTGACTTTAAGATCCGCCGATGCGTAGAAGCCAGAGGTCATTGGTAATATCCGTGCGGTATCTATAAATGGATCACCGTGTGCATTGCATAACATTGGTAACAAGCACATTTGGGGGTTCGCTTCCTCCCCCGTGAGGAATTGAGCGACCGCCCCAACCCAGCCGAAAATCGCCAAAAGTCCCAGGAGGATGTCAACAATTACTTTCAGATGTTCGCATCCATCAATTTAAAATTGACATCGCTCGCTCGCAAAACCGATTCATCATCATCAATGCACCACTCGCACAATCACCGTCGTCATCACGCATCACCTACCCGAGTAGTCATCGAAGGCGGTGGGCACGTACTGAGTCGGGTACCCGTTGGTGGTGTAGCTCACCACGAGGCTGGTCTTGCCCACCGCTCCATCTCCCACCAGGACGCACTTGAGCGGACGATCAGTCCATTCGGGCGGCCCGAGGCACGGCGACAACGGGGCGGAGAAGGAGATGGAGGAGCCGGTCGTGGTGGTGGTGGTCGTGGCCGAGCTAGATGTGCTTCGGCTGCTGCCGCCTCCGATGATGTTGGTGAAGAAGGGACTCGAGCACGGAGACGGATAGCCGCTTCCCGGCGACGACAGCTGGCAGCAGGGGGACCCGACGGGAGACGAGAAGACACTGCCCCCGGAGGACGAGAGCGGAGACAGCGGAGACGTGGGCAGGAGACGAGGACTCTGCGTGGACACGGGCGAGCGGTGCGGAGGCACAGGAGGCGGGGTGACCTCTTGGGCTGCCTGCTGCTGCTGCGGCTGGGTCGTCGTCCCCTGCTCGGCTCGCTCTCTGCTTTTGCTGTTGCTTTTGTAATCCGCAGAAGCTTCTGGGGCCATGGTGGAGCGTTCTTCGGCCGTCGTTGCGCACTCGTTGAGTCTCGGTTCCTCTCGCTCGCTCTCTCGGTCTCCGCTCAGTGTTTATTCGCTCTTCGCTTTCTCCGCTTCTGTGGGTCTCGACGAAGCGCTCATTTGGGGCTACTTTGCTCGTAATAAAGTCCAAACTGGCGGCTCAAACGAGATCAAAAAAGTTCAGACCGATTGCTTGCAAGTTAACAAAAAACCATCAACGCTAACTTTATCTGCACCCCCTCCCCCACCAAAAAAACCGAAATGAATGAATCACCACCGCAGGTGAACAAAAAAATAAAAATCACGAACCCCAACAAATAATAGCAAACCTGGAAACAAACTTTGGGGGAAGACTCAGCCAAGAGTACTCTGTGAGTTTAAGAGTGAGCCCCGCTGGCTGGAGAGACACAGCTGAGCGCCGTGAGATTATGTATCGGGCACAACCACGTGTACACACACACCCACAGCGTCCGCCTGTGCGCACGAACGATGAAGATGATGCCCTGGGTGCGCGCACAGCACACGCGGCTTATATACCACGCCACGGCATCCCCACCCCCCGGCTCGAGGTGCGTTCACTCAGCCGCACTTCTCACGCTGCCCATTGGGCAGCAAGGCAGAGGGGTGGGGGGGGCGCAGGGCTTTCGTTTCCATTGGCTGCCCATATTTGAACTTCATCCAGAGTCCTGGGGTTTCTTTCTCCACCTCCTCCGTATAGAATATCAGATCGGACTATCTTTATTCTTGTTACGGTTAGTCGCTTATGACTTGCAGTGGATCTTTTGCAAATCAAATCAAGATTGGATGAACGCTCTCCCCCCCTGCCCCCCCCCCAAGATAAAGATCCCCCGTATAGCCTTTAACAAACTGTTGGGGCAAGTGCTGTTAACGAGTAGCAGCTGTGAAGGTTGGAACGGCACACGATGTTGTGGGTGGCCAGCAACCACGCCCGACCGCATTTGTCTCCCTAGTGGTAATGTTTACACACCAGGTACTCATTTGAGGCTGAGTCGACCTTGGGGAGACCCAGGACCGGTTCAGATAATCGTCACCGGTGTTGGCCGTGAGCGGAGATCGGACTGAGGACGCATGGGTCCCCCCCCTACACACGCAAACTGTTGACAATGGGGGATACATTGACCATACTTCACCACGCTGGTCTCAGTATGGCTTGATGCAGGGTCACCTATGACCAGTATCAATATAGCGCTGCTCGCCTGCAATGAGATCAGCAGTTCAACAACAAAAAAGTTGATACTCCGTTTGGCAATGGTGCACAAACATTTTAAAACATTCGATGATGTAGCAATGAAGGGCCGTTGCCCGAAACGTCGTCTGTTATGTTTTTCCGTCTTTAAGGCAGCGGTATTTGTGATGTAGTGAAGGCATAAACCTTACCCATCAGTGTTCACGATTTCATCATATGCTTGAGTTTACCCGTGTGTATTCATACTGAGAGATTTCGAGGGCTTGGTGAGGCATATATATCCAGCAGTGGACTGGCCATGACTAATGATGCATACAGCTGTATTAACGCTTCAGTAAAACACCTGCGGAAGAGTAGACCAATCATCCCCAATGCAACACCATCGTGTTAAACTTTACGTAAGCTCAGGCGCTTTCGTGACGAATTTAAATCACTATGCGCACTCAAGAGACGATATCGTAACGGCGCCGTCAATCAACTCGCCACGTGCGTAAGCCGTGGTCTGGAATCGAACCCAGTGTGCCGGGCTCAACGGTTGGCGTCCACATCCACCGGGGCGCGACGGCTCTCATTCTTCTCTACCCCCATTAACAATCGTGAGCAACCGAACAAGCACGCAGCTCCTCACAACAGCAGAACATCACAATGGCAACGATGCCCCCCGTCGTCGTGACGGTGAATCTGAATGGGCAATAATTACCTGCGCGTCTGTGTGGGCTTGGAAAGAAAAGACCGCCGTCTTTGTTTTCTTGATACCTTAAATGCCACCCCCCCCCCAAACTGTGTCCGTGGGAACACGCCTTGTCTTTACACATCAATCGATACCTTGCGGCAGTTTCGTGTCCGCAGGGATTCCCTTTTTTTGAAATCTTAATCAATACGCACGTGAAAGCTTTCCGCGAGTGAAATGATTGCGGGGAAATTCCGGCCACTTGGTCCGGAATACAAACGCACCACGCGCACACACTCGCTAGATACGATTTGGGCGATTTCAGTTGAACCGCAGTTCTAAAAGTGTTGAAATAAAATGTCGCTTTTCGTAAGAATATATATTTCACAATCGCGATTATACACACATGCATGTTTACGGCTAAAATGCCGTACATCCAATTTTCATGAAGAGTCTTGGTTTGAATTAAACATATCATTATTCTTATGATTTCAAGTTAGCTTCTGACAAATAATTGAAGGGCCAGTCTCTTAATGTTTCGTAATACATCGCAGGATCGTGAGAGATGGTCGCGGCTTGGGGGATGCCTTCATCCAGCAGTGGATTGGCCATGATTGCTGCTGCCAATGTTTCAAAGACACTGCGCGGACATTCCCTCTTAGCCGAAATTCTGTGGGAGTTCGATGGGTGAGTAAAACGAAAACGATCCACGTCTCAAGGCTTTTTTCCCTTTTCAGGAGGATCTTGCACAGGTGAAATACATCCATTCCTCTTCTTGGTTCTTTCGGTAAAGTCACGTAGAAGGGAAGTAATAAAATAATAAAAATAAAACATAATAAAACAATTCTCACGACGTTTCGGCCACAACGCAAGCAGCGGTCCTCAGGTGAAGAATGAGACAATGCCAAGCTAGGAGCTTATATATAAGCTGCGTTGGAGGTGGAAGAAAGAGCGCCACCTCCAACGCAGCTTATATATAAGCTCCTAGCTTGGCATTGTCTCATTCTTCACCTGAGGACGGCTGCTTGCGTTGTGGCCGAAACGTCGTGAGAATTGTTTTATTTTTATTATTTTATTACTTCCCTTCTACGTGACTTTACCGAAAGAACCAAGAAGATGAATCCCTGCAGTCACGAAAGCTTTAAATCGAAACATCCATACCTGTGCCGCCATCTGCTGGTCATCCCGCAGCTCAAGCCTACAACACCTAATATTCCTGGGCAAACGCCCATGCAAGCATTAACCAAGCTCAACCGTGCTTAGCTTCCGATATCAACTGCGAATAAAGTTCATACGAGTGTGAGGCCATGGTGGTGAGATGTTAACTACCTCGCCTGGTACGCAGGAGGTCGTGGTTTAGACTCAGACAATGACGCCTGCTGATGAATATTTGGAGTTTTCGTGTCTCGATCCTTGTGGTCGCGTGGATTTTTCTCGGGGTCCTCCGGTTTTACCCTCCACATTTAGAATCAACATCACGCGTTTAGAGTATTTGGCTGCTATAAATGTCAACGTGATAAGCCACTTTGTTGAACTATAATTTGTGGCCAGGTTGCTTCTGAAAAATAGCTATATTGTTTAGTGGGCCTTACCTGGTAAAATAAAAAAATGTTAATTTTTTTTTTAAACAGTTTTGTGTGCCAGTCTCGCTACTAGACAACGACTATTGATTAAACCCATTGATGGGGTGGTAGACAAAATGACAGGATATGGCTTCGGATTAAATGTGAATGGCTCAACAGGCGGTCTCGATCGCAGGTCTTTTCGGTCAAAATAATTCGTGTTTCTACATCACTCCGTTTCATTTGACTTAAAGACACAGACGGAAGATTGAAAAGCTTTCTGGCGTGTGAGCGCAAAAAGCCCAATTCTTCACAAACTCCCCGTTTAATTCGTAGGTAAACGCACAACACCAGAAGCAACTGGCTTCTAAACATTCAAATATGGCTTGTGTGTATGGTAAAATTCGTTTCTGTGCAGGTGATAGGTGAATCATAATTACTGCACGTAATCTCGGTTTTTTTTTGTTAGCTCGCGTAAATAGAAATGTGTTGTTAAACCCGCCACCACCCCAGTCAATTAGTAAGGTTTGTCACGTAAACAGAACATGCCGATTCGTTTGAATACAGCACACCGGTGTGTCGGAGAGCAAATCCACAACATTAACAATCTCCAACACACCGGTGTTGCTGTACAAGTAACGAATCGGCACGTACTGTTTACGTGACAAACCTTACCTAATTGGCTGTGTGGGCTGGTGGCGGGTTTAATCATGGTTGATGATCATGATGAAAGTATCTTTTGCGGCGTGGCAGCAATCGCGCCGAAGAGTCTAAGGTGGCCGGGTGAATGTTGTTCGTTCTAATGACCACGCTATCAATGTGCGGCCCTTAATAGGTGCTCGCTAACATTATACCCAAGTGGTGATGCCAGTGTTTATCAAGGCACAGGGCACGCAAAGATCGATTCGCAACTATAAGCGAGCCAATGTCTAAGCGCTCTCTAATTTAATGGTCATTGTCCAACAGTATTGTCTGCGCTCTATGTTTTCTAAGATGACACTATGTTTGTAGACTGATGCCGATTTGTTAATATGTAATTCATCACTTTCAACGAAGCTAAACTATTTTTTTTACCGAGAACAGTAATTTATAAATGTGTGATATTTAATCACACGGAGTACAATGATCAGTTTTTGAAACTGTTGCTCTCGTGATGTATTTAATTGAAATTCACGAGATAATTTAGACCAGCAAACTCAAAACGAGGCTGTTACTAAACGTATTAGCATGTTAATCGGATGACCTACAGTGTCTCATGTTTTATTCACGTTTAGCAAACACAAGGCTAACTCAATCAACCATGCATTAGCATGTTAATAGGCCTGTCTCTCCCCTTTCATGTCGCCTATTGTTCAAGGTAATTATGTTATACAAGTGGATAAATAAAACTACTTTTTACGTGCAGGGATAAATTAATGAAGGAGATATATTGCCTGCTTATTTATTGTGTTTTACTGATATTCTACACGACGACAACGCAGGTGATCGACGTGAATATACAACAGGCCATTTAAAACCCAAACTGCAGCCACACCAACCCACAATATGAACGACCAGTGCCGGATGATCGTAGTAGCAAGAGTAGCTACAATGGAGCTACATATGTTGTAGCTACTCTGTAGTTACTACATATGAAGCTACTACAACTATGTAGCTACTATGTGCAGTACTACAAAGTAGCTACATATGTAGTAGCCACGGGCCCCACAATTTCAAGGGCCCGCGCTAAATACTTTCAAGCTATCAATTTCAAGCTATCAATTCCGGTTCAGTGATTCTGCACTTGCTCTATAACTATAGTAATATACTGCCTTGAACTGTTACGAGCGACTGGGTGTTTAAGGTTAGCGATTTGTCGTATTGTCTGGGCTGTATAGCAAATGAAAGAATACAATTACTTTATGCAAGTAAAACATGTGTTTTAATATTTGTGTAGATTTTTTTTTATTTAGGGCCCCTTTATAACATCATGCTACAGTGGCGTTGTTATTCATTCCCTTGGATTGCCAAAGAGCTGACTACTGTTCACCTGGACATCTGTGAAAAAGAGCTTCGTAGGTCAACGGATTTCTCCAGGACAAAATCAAGATTCTGAATCTTAGCACAATGATGAAATAACCGGCATAATTTCAACGAGTTTCTAACGACCCACTAACAGCCAGCTGCCAAGAACTTTTAAATGACAAAGCGTGAACCCTCTTTGAATACAGAGTTCCTCGCAGCCATCTGGTAGGGACTTTTACATAACAAAGAGGCCAAGTTTCTCATTATTGCCAGTTGTCGATGTTTCATGTACAGCATGCATATGTTCACAAGGAGGTTATCGAAGCAACGAAAAGCTCAGAACTTTTGCCAATTACAGTGCCTCAAAAGGGGAAACAATTCTAGCGACGCTATGGTAAATGGACCATTGTCAACGAACGTGTTGAGATCTTTGTTGCTTGCACCACCACTGCCAACGCAACGTCACCGAATAACATCGTGATGGAAGTTGCGTTCCCGTTTCGTTGGGGAATAATAATAACACTGGCCGTCTAGCGCCGCCACGTGGCGAGACACGTGTACCGCACATGCGCGTGCACGAACAAATGCATCACAAGGGATTTATGGGCAAAATCGAAAGTAAAATAAAAGTGACACTCACCGGTCAAAGTATTTACAGTAAAACCTTGGATTGCGAGTAACTTGGTCTGCGAGTGTTTTGCAAGACGAGCAAAATTTTTAAATAAATATTAATTTGATAAACGAGGTCTTGCAATACGAGTAGTACGCATATACGCTTTGTCTGCCGAGCGTCACGTGATCGCAACTGATATACGAGCGCTTTGATATACGAGTGCTTTGGATTACAACACGTTTCCGGAACGAGTTATGCTCGCAATCCAAGGTTTTACTGTATTTTGTACAGCCTCACGCGATGAAAGTAAAGCACATTAATTCATAAGAATGCAGAACTTCCACAAACGGCTCAGGGCTCTCGGCTCAAGATGTGCACCATCCCAACGCCCTCTTTGATCTGAGACTTGTTTGTGTCTTGAACTTATTTCGCAGCATACGAAGCCAACCGTGCCTGATCTCTTTAACTTTCAGTTAACTTTTTCTAGACGTATTCAATACTCTGATCTTACGACTGTGTGTTATGTCTTTATTTGGTTTTCAGGACTAAGTCGTTGCAATGCCAATTTTTATTACTTTCTATTCGGGGGATGATTTTGCAAAATAGAACTTAGTCTCTTTCAATGGTCTCTCACCCGGTTAAAATAAAGTCAACTCATTGGAAGTTCAACAATTGAGATAATTGGGATTGAATAAATAGCTTGGACTTAACAGCTAAAGTCGGCAGATGTTATTTCTACTCGACAATACACAAAGTGCACTAAACTATCAACGTTCTCAGGCTTGGGTGGTCTGTGATTTCTGTGAATGTGTGCTCAAGTGTGCAAGTTGACATCTCAACGATACACAGTTTGGTAATGTAGTACTGTACAAGGTGTATGCACAAAATGTGTTTCGTATTATATTCTTGCGTATGATGGCAATATGTTCGGCAGCTAAATGCCAATATCGAGGTCTGCTAGCAAGGAGGGCAGTGGTGTAGTTTTGCTATTCCTCCATTGAAGGTACGCATACTCGAGTGGTTTACCGTACGGCCCATAGTTTGGGTTGCATGAAATGTTATTATAATGCAGCTTTTTTATTGAAGCAATACGTGGGCCCGTCACACCGTCGACGTGAACTAAACCAGTTACGAAAAGCTGGGGGCAGAAAGATGTGGAGCAGGCCCACTGCCTCAATACCGCTGCTCTTTTTAATCATTCAATGTCTGCCGTGCAAATCTTGTACCCATCTCTTCCACGGGTATCACCATTGACAAAGAGCTTTGCAACCTCAGTGGGCCTTTCCCTCGGGATACCAACGGTAAGACATTTGAATCTTCCATGTCAGGTCCAGGTAGGGATCTTGATGACCCTGGGGAAGGAAGTGTCGGCCACAGGCTCAACTGGGCGTGTCACCCTCCAACGGTAATTGCTTTCGCTCTGTCTCGCAACCACGAGGGGGCATGGGGAGACAAAGGCACAAAAAAAAAGTAAATCAAAACTCTACATCATTAGACCTCCTTTGCCAGTACCAAAATAAAATAATAGGGTTTTTCCCCTTTTTTTTGGCAACAAAACTGAAACCTTTTTACAAGCCGTCCCTTGGTGTGGATCAATCAGTTTCAAGGACAATGCATATATTATCATCGTGTGTTTTTTGTTTGCATTTTGACTGTAAGTATTGTGGTTAATGCAGACATGAATCCTTGTAAAAAGGTTTCAGATTTGTTGCCAGAAAAAAGGGGAAAAACCCTCTTATTATTGAATCAAAACTACCAAATAATTCAATGAATTCAGATAGCTGATGGATAGTCTCGTGAACGGGAGGAATGGTTAGAGAGCAAACAGAGAATAAAGTGTCCGAAACCGAAAAGGCACATGCAGGAATATGAGACTTACAAAAAGACATAGTGATTAAACGATTGCCAAACGCTACTGTTAACGCACGGACCAAGTACATTGCACTTCAAGAGGACTAAGCAAGACACATGGCAGTATCTTCAAGGTCACTCAATGCATGCTATGCCAGGCCACAGACGTTTTGATCACCCCTTGTGTCACAGTGTGCAGTACTATCTCACCGGGCTGGAGCTGCATCACTCGCTGGAAGTACTGTCGGGGTAGTACCCCTTGCGTGTTTCCAGAGCTCAGGATCACCCCATTGGCCGAGCAGGTAAAATGGGATCCCATCTGCACGCGTTAACAGACGGGCAACGCCAAACCCACGTAAGCACACCCACCCAAACCCGGAAAGAAACATACGATGCGGTATGAACAGTGGTGGAAATGGGCTGGAATGCCCCGAAATGCCATGGTGGGAGTGAAATTTTTAACCCGTTACGGAAGGAATCAATGATTCGTTATTCATTTCTTTTGACTCACAGATAGACCCCTGAGACTAGCAGACATGCACAGAAACCCACATACTCAAAAACCCACAGACACGCATAAAGACCCACAGACACACAGAGACCCACATACGGCCACAGAGACCCACAGACACGCATAGAGACCCACAGACACACAGACACCAACAGACGTCCACAGACACGGATATTCACAGACACACTCAGAGACCCACAGACGGACCTAAGCTCCTCCTCTTCAAGATCTAGTGGGGTGGACAGGAATCATTTATGAGTTTCCCAGTAATTTTTTCCAACTTTCCAGCCCTGAGTATGAACAGATGATGTATATATAATTGCTGTACTTTATTCAACCAGGCGACAGGGCATTTGAGATTTTGCTAACTATTTTGTAAATATGCAATTTTGAAACAAAAGTCACGTAGACATGTACTTTGAAATTAAATATACAAAAACATGTGGTCTGAGATTAAAATGCCAGCGTTCAAAAAAGCTTTAATGGGCTTCAAAACTTTTTTAAGAGAGTCCCCATGGGGATGGTTGCCCAGGATCGTTTTAAACAAGTTTGGGCAAAGTACGATGCATAGGCATGGATTATGCAACGCTTTCGAACGTGTGTTTGTCTCCTGAAGAATTCAATTAGCCACATTTAGCCCCGACAGGCGACAGGCAGCTTTCAGGGCAGGTGGTGAGACGTCCCTTAATAGCCAACGCAACTTTTAATACACATTTATTCACATTGGATCATCTTAACGCCAGTTAACGTGCCCCACCCCAGCAATGGACAGCGAGAAAGTGCTAATGCATCAACGCTTTCAAACTAAGTTGCAAAGTGTTTTAAAAAAATATGTCGCGTGTAGGAGGAAATCGGATTAGCTGAAAAATACCCAAAGAGTGAGAAAATTACCACTTACCTTGCAAAGCTTTTTCAATGTCAATATAAATTGCGATTTCACAGTTCCCTCGCATTCCTGAAATGACAACATTTAAAAGTTCAATGCATGACATTCAAAGTTGCTGCTATTCGTTGAATGTGTACGCTTTTATTTTTACGCAGGCATGGTTATCACATCGTCGGATGGTATTGAAAGCCTTTGTGTAATTAAGTAAACAATGTAGAGAAACGGACTGTCGGAGAATATGCTCTAATTTAGAATACTTAGATAATTCAGAAATGTAGGAACTAAAACATCCAAAACACTATGCACGTAATATGTCAGTACACAGGATTTCAGGCAACAATCTTACTCTTTTGGTTCTTTCGGTAAAGTCACGTGACTTTACCGAAAGAACCAAGAAGATGAATCCCTGCAGTCACGAAAGCTTTAAAACGAAAAGTCTGCCTACCCATCAGCAGTTTTCACACAGGTAACGATCGAGGCGGAGGGGTGGACCGGAGGTGCAGTGGTTAGCGCACTGTGCTATTAACCTGGAAGCCCGAGTTTGGTTCTTAGCCATGACTAAGATCAGCAGCGAGTGATATTCGAACCAACCCCCTTATTCACCAACCCACGTTATGGTTTAAATACCCTCCATGCCACGGCGTGGGGAGGCCATTATCCCGCGGTGGATTGACAAAGGGCTGACCACGATTATTACAGCTCGGCGACACAGCGGAGCACGAGGTGAGCCGGTCCGTGCGCCGGTACCGCTGATGACGCCCTCCGCTCCCGGTTCTCCCGGCGCCATGTGTATGTGCGCGCGTCCCCTGCGGCTGAGCCCATCGCGGATGATGGACGGCCAGTGGCGCGCGAAGGTGCCGTGCACCACGCACTCGGGCAAGGCCGAGACGTGCAGCGCGATGGGCTGCAGCTCCAGCTCCTCCACCTGGTATCGGCACGCGCATCGTGGAGGCACACGCACGGGCACGCTAAGGAGGCTGTGCGATCAGCAACAACGATAAAAAGATCCAAAGATCCCCCCGTGTCGCCTTAACAGACAGTAGGGGCAAGTGCTGTTAGCGAGCACCTATGAAGGCCGAAACGGCACACGAGGAGGTGGGTGGCCAGCACCACGCCCGGCCGCCTTTGTCTCCCCAGTGGCGATGTTTACACACCGCACCAGATAGACTTATTTGAGGCTGAGTCGACCTAGGGGAGGCCCGGGACTGGTACAGATAATCGTCACCGGTGTTGGCCGTGAGCGGGAATCGAACTCAGCTCGCCGGGTTCGTAGCGCAGCGTAGCGCTAACTGCTGCATGACAGCTACCCTACGATCCGCAACACACGCACACAAAGACAAAGACCCCCCGTATAGCCTTAACAGACTGTACGGGCAAGTGCTGTTAGCGAGCACCTATGAAGGCCGGAACGGTACACGAACGAGGGGGTGGGTGGCCAGCACCATGCCCGACCGCCTTTGTTTCCCCAGTGGCGATGTTTACACACCGCACCAGGTACTCATTTAAGGCTGAGTCGACCTAGGGGAAGCCCAGGACCGGTTTAGATAATCGTCACTGGTGTTAGCCGTGAGCAGGAATCGAACCTGGGTCGCCAGGTTCATAGCGCAGCGCGCTAACCGCTGCACTACCGCTCACCACACGCACACACACGCACGCACGCACACACGCACACACACACATACGTGCCCACCCTCGCCTACCTGTAGCGAGTGGCCTTGGTTGGCGCGGATCTGCAGGCTGCCCGTAGTTGGGTGGGCGCGCAGAGCGAACCTCTGCTTGTCGTTGGACTCCACGACTCTCCTCACATCCGCCTCCTCGCACCCAGCCAGGCTACGCTGGGCCAGCAACTCCTGCACGTCCACAAATCCATCTGCAGGAGTTGGGACACGGGAGTGGGACACGGGAGTGGGACACGGGAGTGAGACACGGGAGTAAGACACGGGTGTGGGACACGGGCAGGGGACACGGGAGTGGGACACGGGAGTGAGACACGGGAGTGGGACACGGGCAGGGGACACGGGAGTGGGACACGGGAGTGAGACACGGGAGTGGGACACGGGAGTGAGACACGGGAGTGGGACACGGGAGTGAGACACGGGTTTGGGACACGGGTGTGGGACACGGGAGCGGGACACGGGAGCGGGACACGGGAGTGGGACACGGGAGTGGGACACGGGTGGGTGACACACACCGCATCCAGGTACTTATTTGAGGCTGACTCAACCTAGGGGAGGCCCAGAACTGGTTCAAATAATCGTCACTGGTATTGGCCGTGAGCGGGAATCGAACCCGGGTCACCAGGGTCGTAGCGCAGCGCGCTAACAGCTACACTTCAGTTACATCATACTCACTCACACACACAACCACACACTCACCATCATACACACACACACCCAGCAACATATTCACACACTCACCATAATACTCACACACACTCGCCATCACTCACACACACACAAAGACAAATGAAAAGGACAAAGATATGTTTTCCTGCTCGACGAAGACATCCCCATCACATGTGCCACTCCTCGCTGTTACGTCCTGCAAATCTACGAACTCCTCTCGTCTCCACGAAAAGGTGTGGATACCAGAGATTCCACGCGTTATTCACGGGGCCGCGGACAACAGCCACAGACGAGGGGAGTTTTGGCGGCAGTGCGAGTGCGATGAAGTGGTGTTTACCGCTGCCCATGTGAAGGCCCAGTCGATGTGCCCCGTGCCGCAGAGCGTAGGACAGAGTCTTCGATAAGCGGACGTCAGGGTTCTAATTCGCCACCGTTTTGGGTCGGGGAAAAAACGATACAGTGCGTCACAAAATTGACCCCGACAGTATTTACAACGCAAGATCATGTTGCGCAGCGGGGAAAACACAGGTGGTGCAAAGGATGGCTACGCCAAGTGGCTTATCGCGTGGAAATTTATAGCGGCCAAGTACTCTTAGACGCACGTTGATTCTAAATGTGGAGGGGAAAACCGGAGGACCGGGGAAAAAAAATCCACACAACCACGGGGAGAACATTCAAACTCCAAATATATAGCAAGCATCAGGGTCGGGATCGAACCCACAACCTCCTGTATACCTTGCGAGGCAGTTAACATCTCATCAGAATGGCGCCCCTTGCTAACCATTACACCCGCAGCAGTATCCCACATTCATTATTAATGGACATCAGTAAAATGACCTCGGAGTGAGTGCTGTGATGTCTTCGTCCACCGTGACCTCTCCCTTGTCCACGTCCTCCATGACGAGTCCACCCGTGGGGTGGAAGATGTTCTCCAGACATCTCCCACAGGACACTGCTTCTCCTCGCTAGTTACGGAAACAAGAAATCACAATTCAAAGTCCTTTCCAAATTCACTGCTTAAAGCAGCTTTCCTCATGTCAGTCAATGGGTCGTGCTATCGTGTAATGACCTCACAGGGCGTGTTACCCTGGCTTCATTCTACTGGTGTCGTAATAACACTGGGCATTGAATGACAAACACTTCCTCAACGTTGAACATACGCAATACAGTATATTGTAAATCAACTTGTTTCACGTCCAACACATATACAAGGAATTTGTATACAGGTACATGTCAATCCTCAACTAAACTTTGTTTTATTTTAACAGATAAGGCCCACTGAGCTATGTACAGCTCTTTTTCAAAAGTGACCTGCCCACAAGTGACAGTTCAACGAAGTGGCTTATCGCGTGGAAATTTAAAGCAGCCAAATACTCTTAAGCACATGTTCCTAAATGTGGACGGGAAAAACCGGAGGACCCAGAGAAAAATCCACGAGATCACGGGGAGAGACAAACACGCAAACTCCAAATATACAGCAGGCGTACAGGTCAGGATCAAATCCACGACCTCCTGCATACCAGGCGAGGTAGATAACGTCTCGCCACTGTTGCGCCCTAAGATGAAGGCTTCCCCACATGCCATGTAGGCCATGGGAGTTGTTTGACCATACTTCACCATCCTGGTCAATGCGGCTTGGTGAAGTGGGGGGAGGGGCAGAGTCGGTTCGCATTTCACTGGTAGCTTTTGTTAGCAATGGCTGGAAATTGAACTCAGGTCGCTGGATTCACAGCAATAACAAATATCTAAATCACGACGTTTCGATCGCAACACAAGCAATCGTCTTCAGGTTATTTTATATATCTACGTGGCTTTACCGAAAGACCCAAAGAATATGAATTCCTGCAGTCACGAAAGCTTTAAGTCAAGATGCGTACGTTAAAATTAATACCACATGCATCAGATTTATCAAAAAGTCAATGAAAGATTGTAGCTACATATTTTAAATGCTATGAAATTCAGGGAGGATAGATATTTCAAATGGATGACATGTCAATTGGACCAGGTCACGTGTAGTGGGGTAAAGTGTGAGTACTCTCACTTCTTCCAAGACATCTGGCCAGTGTGAAAGAGTAGGAAATAAAATATTTAAAAATACTTTTTTTTTTAAAACACGCTTTAATGAAATGTACTATCCGAGCTGCCCCTCCCCTCCTTCCACATCCCCCGCCCCTGGGCGTGGCTCCACCGAGGCTTGCCGTGACGTAAGGGACCACGTGGTGATTTACAGGCAACGTCAGTTGAGCGTGAACAATTAGAGCCGTTGGAAAGATTGTTTAAAAATAGATATTATTTTTAATGATAGAACATAGTATTGTCATCAGTATGACACAGCTATACGAAGTTTGCAGTCGATACGACATTGGGAATACGGTTGAAATTGAGTTACACGATTTTTGGATACGACAACACATACAGTAAGTTAAATAAAAGCGTGTAAAAAGTTTAAAAATATATGTTTTGGATTTTTTTTTTTATGATAGAATATCGTGTTGTCATCAGTATGACATAGCTATACGAAGTTTGCAGTCGATAGCACATTGGCAAGTGTGTAGAAATTGAGTTACAATATTTCTTTTTTGAGGATACAACAGACAAAGTGAGTTCAATGAAAGCGTGTAAAAACGATATCACGATCCAGCGAAGTCCACGTGTTCCCCATTGTCAGATGTTTCTGATCCATTTCAGGTAATTTCGTAGTCAGTCGCTATCTATTTTAATTATCGTTACAGTCCTGCAGAGGTGTGGACTCGAGTCATGTGACTTGGACTCGAGTCAGACTCGAGTCATGAATTTGATGACTTCAGACTCGACTTGGACTTGCATAACAATGACTTTGTCCCACCTCTGCAGTCCTGCATTTCATATTTTCATCGATCCAGTAAACATGGTTTGGGTTCAATTGACATCGAACCAAATGTGTAAAACTTCAAACCTTCCTATAAAAAAAATCACACATTTAGCTTGCATCATTGAGCATGACTGTCAACCCCTTAAGGGCCGTCCATAAATGACGTCACGCGATTTTGGACGATTTTTGACCCTCCCCTCGTCACACGGCGTCACAAAAAGTCAGACCCCCCCCTCAAATATGACGTCACAAAGCTCTGCCCCCCCCAAAAAATAAAACATGCTTCAAATCGCTTTAACCTATTGCCATTGTAGTGCGTATTTAATGTGGCGCTGCACTCTGATGTTGAAGGTGAAAACATTTATGAAAAAGTCTATTTCATTAAGTAGAACGTGTTGTCTATATTTGAAGTTGCGCATTTTTGACGTGACGTCACATTTCGCAACCCCACCCCCCTCGTCACACATCGTCACAAATGTCTGACCCCCCCCCCCCCCAGGTGCGTGACGTCATTGATGGACCTTATTGGTCATCCCCTGCCCTTACAAATGTCAACGTTCATCCCACAAAGTCCCATCGCAAGGGAGAACCACAAACAAATAGACGGTATTGAAACGTCTGTACGCCGCACGAACCTACAAACTCAAATTTCCTTGCTCATGGCCGAGGTGGTTTGCGGTAGGTGGGTCACAAGCAGAGAGGGGGGGGGGCTGCCAGCAGGTAGCCCCCCTCCCCACGGCCCCCCTTCCTGAGCAAGCGTTGGCACGGAGGACTCCGACTTACGGACGACTCCGACTTACGGACTAGACGACTTACGGACGAGACGACTCCGACTTACGTACGAGACGACTCCGACTTACGTACGAGACGATTCCGACTTACGGACGAGACGATTCCGACTTACGGACGACTCCGGACTCACAGACAACTCCGGACTCGGACAACTCACAGACGACTCCGACTTACGGACGAGACGACTCCGACTTACGTACAAGACGATTCCGACTTACGGACGAGACGATTCCGACTTACGGACGACTCCTGGACTCACAGACAACTCACAGACGACTCCGACTTACGGACGAGACGATTCCGACTTACGGACGACTCCGGACTCACAGACAACTCCGGACTCGGACAACTCACAGACGACTCCCGACTTACGGACGAGACGACTCCGACTTACGTACGATACGACTCCGACTTACGGACGAGACGATTCCGACTTACGGACGACTCCGGACTCACAGACAACTCACAGACGACTCCGACTTACGGACGAGACGATTCCGACTTACGGACGACTCTGGACTCACAGACAACTCCGGACTCGGACAACTCACAGACGACTCCCGACTTACGGACGAGACGACTCCGACTTACGTACGATACGACTCCGACTTACGTACGAGACGATTCCGACTTACGGACGACTCCGGCTCACAGACGACTCCGACTCACAGACAACTCACAGACGACTCCGACTTACGGACGAGACGATTCCGACTTACGGACGACTGCGGACTCACAGACTCCGGACTCACAGACAACTCACAGGCGCCTCCGACTTACGGACGAGACGACTACGACTCACAGACGCCACTCGCGAAGCTGTTTCGAAGACAACGCAGCTGCTGTTCTTGGGGCGTCACGCACCGCGGCTTCGATCGATGTTTTCAAAACTCAACTTACCCTCGGGGCAATTTTCAAATACGTAGCTGATGCTGGACGGCAACATACGTTGTTGTTGTTGTAGTCGTATGTTCAAGATTATCGTGTCAAATTACTTAGTCATTTATATATACGGCACAGTGCGTTACTGTATTTGTAACAGCACTGTTAGGCACTTAATCACTTTAACAAACACAGTTGTGTTGACCAAAATAATCGTCCTGCGTAACCATCTTGAGCGGACAACCCTTAACTAATGATTTATACACATTATACTTTGTGTAACTAAATAAATACTTTCCATAAAATGTGCATACGGTATACGTCTGAGCTGCATATGTATTCGCAGTATATAAGTCTGGTACTACAGGCAGTTCTCGACTTAGGGGCCGTCCATAAATGACGTCACACGATTTTTGACCCCCTCCCCCTTCGTCACACGGTGTCACAAAAAGTCAGACCCCCCCCCTCAAATATGAGGTCACAAAGCTCTGTCCCCCCCCCCCCCCAAAAAAAACACATGCTTCAAATCGCTTTAAACTATTGTCATTGTAGTGCGTATTTAATGTGGCGCTGCACTTTGATGTTGTAGGAGAAAACATTTATTAATAGTATTTAATTAAGTAGAACGTGTTGTCTATATTTATTTAAAGATGCGCATTTTGACGTGACGTCACATTTGTCCCCCCCCCCCCTCGTCACACATCGTTACAAATGTCTGACCCCGCCCCCCCCCCTAGGTGCGTGACGTCATATATGGACGGCCGCTTAGGTTACGTTCCTGAGACCCTGAACTATTTACTTATACTATGTATACTTTCTATAACCCAATAAATACCTTCCATAAAATGTGCTTACATGTCTGATCTGAATATGCAGCGTCACAGTCAATGTCTAGTACAGGCAGTTCTCGACTTACGAACGAGTTACGTTCCTGAGACCCGTTCGTAAGTCGATTTGTTAATATCTCGGAACTCGGAATATTTAATACTCGTAGGAACCTCCTGGTTACACCAGCCCACAGGGGAGTATTGTGTCCGTCGTGCAGGGAGGGGCTGGGTGGGGAGGGAGGGGCTGGGTGGGCCTGGGTGGAGAGGGGCTGGGTGGGGTGGGGAGGGGCTGGGTGGGGCTGGGTGGGGAGGGGCTGGTCACCCCGTGGTGCCCTTATAAAACTCAACGTTTAACCTACTCACGCCGGCTTGTGCCCGCCCTCACAGTCGGGCATATTTGCGGAATACACCACGCCGCCGTTGACCCTGGCCATTGACCGAGCAACCCAACGTTCCTACCAGCTCCCTCCGCAGGAATGTGTTTGTATGGTCAGTGTCACAGCATGTGTTGTGGTTAAACAAATAAATGGAGGCATTGTTAGACTCATAAGAAATATTTTACATTTGCATGTAACATTGAAATAAATACTGTCGAGTAACTAAAACTAAATAAAATCAATTTTCTCTTCACTTGCCTTCAGTCCTGCTGCGGGCTTGCTTGTCAAAAGCGACGTTTCTGGGAGGATATTGGGACTGCTTACGTTTCGCGGAGGTTAACTCCGCTGAACAAAATAGTGCCGCAGATCGGTTCGTAAATGCCACCGAATGTTCGCAAGTTGGACGGTTAAAAAAAAATATGTTATGACAGTTCGTATCTCGGGGATTGCCTGTACTCTAATTTGTAGTTCTTTTTTCGTACGATGGGCAAAATCACATTTTAAACCCTCAAACTATAAGCAAGACTCTGACAAAAGTCGACAAACAAGTGTGCATGTGATGACTCACTCAGATATTTATGATTCACATTAATGTAGGAGTCATGGCAACCAAAACAGTGATGCAACCTCTGTGGAATGAGGGAAAGAACCGAAACTTTATTTTAAGACACGTTTTTTATGCTGACATGGAGCATCTTCAGAAACACGTCATTGCCAAAAACACAGTACAGTACAATGGGGATATGAGGCGCTGATGTCAGTCATAATTTGATTAAATAAATACAATGCTGCGTTTAAGCACAGGATTTTTCAAATTACTAGTTTTTGCAAGTAAATATTTTTATATAAGCGTTTTATCTTGAATTCTATTGTGAATTTAAAGTGTTACAAAACTGCGGATGCATATTCCCATGTACTGTTGACATTTTATACTTTCACAATCAATTCCCTTCCCTTATTTACTCTTGTAACTCATGATATTCAACTGCCAAAGTAAGTTCACGAGAAATATTACCACACCGGCACTACAGGCGCCTTTGGGTGTGCATGGTGTGTGTGGAATGCCACGCACCCATTGGCCCACGCCACGTTACACCAGGCGTGGCTCGTAAGGGGGTTTCCCCAACTGTAGGGAGAATGTGGGGGTAGATTTACTTTCATGAAAAATGACCATTTTTACGTCGATCCATCAATTTGATTGAAGTGATGGTGACCGCTCTCGTAAATTCCCTCTTGCTGTCCCCAGAACACGGCTTTCTCCACGACCACATCAGTGTCAACAACTTTCTTCCTATTCACCCAATTCGGTTGGGGCAATCAGGAATGGCATTCTAATAGGATTGGTCCATGGACCAAAACAGACATTTTCTAACCACCGATGGCTGTGAAACTTCAGCCGTATCGATTTATGGCTTATTTTCTCATGACCAACTCGTTTCAAACGGTTACCACATAAACCACTGCTAATGGCCACATTGTAAAACAAATAAACCACCAATGTACTTCTACCTCAGGCAGTACCGACAAGTGAAATATTGTGGTCTGGGCTCAATGACTTGTTGAAGGTCCTCCTCATCATCTTCGTCTTCAATAGAGCAATGACTTGACGTGGTGACGTGATGAAGAAGCTTTGGGGCTATAGTCAAGCCCCAGTAAGATGACCCCCCTAAAAACGAAGTTCACGTCACAGGCCCCCTAAAAAAATAAATCAACGTGAATAACAGTGCCGTGTCTAGATGTTGCCACCTGTCCTCATTTTGCCAGGTAGCAGTCTCGGGAAATCTCTTGAGTTTTCCCAGAAGGTCACAGTCCCGGTTCGGCGTCAGTGCCGTAACAAAACAGCGCTTTTGACGATGCAATTGACATCCTGCAAGTAGCTCACCACAGCTTCCAATCAGTGAGATTGTTTTCTTGCCCTCAAACGGCCAGGTTTTTTGTTGCACCTCAGAGGTGGAATCTCTCACCGTGGCATTTTCTGCCTGCCCTCCCTGCCTCCTCCCACGCCATTCTTGCTTCAAATGTATTCATTCAACAGGCTCTGACTAACACAGAGAAGCTCATATTATTTCCCACGACTGGGGAAGGGGACCTTTCTTGAATAAGCATGACTTGCTGCCGATTACAATATGATGCTATCCACGCAAGAAAGCTTCACCGACGCTATATATAGTTGAGTGAATGTTCTTGGATGTTGCGAGGAAATCGGGGTACCCGCAGACAAAAAGGCAACACATCCACAGGAAGCCATAACACAAATCGACGCATGTGGATAGACAATGACCAAGATGACGATGATGATGATGAGAAGAATAACAAGTGATCATGACCATCCATAAGAGGTTTTTTTTTGCGTTATATCGTGTAAATATAAATGTGTCGTTAAAACCTGCCACCAGCCGACACAGCCAACTAGTAACGGTTGTCAGGTAAACAGAACATGCCAATTCGTCACTAGTACAGCACAATGATGTGTTGGAGAGCTAAGCCACAACATTTACAATCTGAGTACGACGTTTCGCCAGTAATTGATGAAGCTAGTTGTAATTATGCATATTGGTCGCGAAAGCCTACTCGTTAAACTGATCATAATCATGCCATCATCATTGCCTTTTTTTTCATCACACAACAGTCCAAACTCCTATAGCCTCATGAATTTTAACCTTAGCTCTGAAAATAACCCTACATAACTCACGTAATTTCCAACCCATTTCATAAGCATAAACCCTAATCACATTTCAGAAAACTCTCAGGTTCTACGCCAAACACTAGAAATCAGCTCAGGGTTTACTTAGTCTTAAATCTAATCTACACCCATAACCCATACCCTGTGACGTTAAGTTGCACTGGAATGCATTACATTGTGAGCTGATGTCCATGTTAATAGAACAGACTAAATATCCAAAGCCAATACCATCAATGTTTTCAATGAAAATCCTACACAATATGGCACTATGTACAGTATAAATCCATATTGGCAGCTTCAATGTAATATGCAAAACTTTTAACCCACCCCACTTTCAGTGTGCTTTTTTTTGTTAATCTACAAATGCCATCAACTCCTTGCAGGAATATGGCAGAAATCTATTTACAATTTGGCACAGGTAGGTGACCTTTGAAACGAAACGTGTGACGTCGAGTGGGATGTTTACCCGTGGTGATGAAGGGGGCGTGTGACGTCAGAGCTCACACAAAAAGGTGAGGTGCCTGATACTTTCAGAATACAGCACTTCCTCGGCGTTGTGCTGCTTCTGCTCGTTAGCAACGCAACTACCTTTACGCGCAGATAGAACAACGTGACGGGCGGTACTTGGACATTAAATTAACTCGTTGAATAGTATTTGTCAATGATGCAACTCTTTCAGTTGGCAGTGGACTGCAATAGGTAGGCGCTCACATGAGGTGCTGGATTGTTCTTGTTTTATTGTTAACAACTGCGATGTACCGTGAGTAAAGTATTCTACCGCTTTATTTTTTAAAGTCGTTTTCTGCATTGATCGATGTTGACTCAAAACAATCTAATGAATCGATAGGTTTGATTTGTAAACGAGTATTTCAAGTATAACACCGTACATTTAAATCTAAATTGATGACCTAACTACATCAGGACAGGTATAAAATACTGAAATGAAAACATACAAATACGACAATAACTAATAAGAAAAAACATCCAAGCATTTTAGCCATTGAGATAAATACTTTGACAGTATTTAAATAAAATATACAAACTACTGACAAAACAGAAGTAATACTTGAATTAGTAAGTATTGTACCTTTTTGTTATTAATTCATTCTATCGGAATTCGTAACTGATGAGACATCGATACGAATAAAATTGTATATCGCATCTGAGAACGCTGTACAACACACAAGAGCAAAACAAAATAATACACCCATCTAAATACGTACAAAATAGTAACCAATGATTCGCAGAGAAAATGACGAGTGCTTAACGTAGCAAGCCTTTTACGGTACCTCGCAAAGTCTCAGCTAAAAATCACCATCCACGTGAATACATCAGTCAACAACAGCAACAGGTGGACACAACGACCAATACGCACTGCTCAAGACAAGATGACGGAGCGACCATACGACGCATACCTATGCTGCAGCAGAGAGGACGACGAATGGGCCGAGCGAGTGACTCAGTACATGGAGGCGGCCCCAAACAACTTGCGCGTGTGCCTGAGCAGTCGCGACTTCGTCCCGGGCATGGCCATCGTTGACAACGTCTGCAACGCGGTGCAAAGCTCCCACCTGATCCTGCTGGTCCTCTCGCTCGGGTTCCTGGAGAGCGGCTGGTGCGATCTGGAGACCATCTTGGCGCTCACCAACTCGGCGCAAGCCACGTGCGTGCTGGAGAGGAACAGGTGAGAACGGGGTGGATCGGAGTGACGTGCGTCGGTGGAGGGGTGGGAGGGCAAGTGGACGCAGGGGATGGATTGACGTGGACCTGGGGAATGGGGGAACCGGATGGACGTGTGGATGAAGTTACATGGACCTAGATAAAGGAGGGAGCCGGATAGACGTGTGGATGGAGTTATGTGAACTTGGAGAATGGGGGGAGCCAAGTAGACTTGTCGATGGAGTGACGTGGACCTGGGGAATGGGGGGAGCCGGATAGACTTGTCGATGGAGTTACGTGAACTTTGAGAATGGGGGGAACCAGATGGACATGTGGATGGAGTGACGTGGACCTGGGGAATGGGGGGAGCCGGATAGACTTGTCGATGGAGTTACGTGGACCTGGATAATGGGGGGAGCCGGGTAGACGTGTAGATGGAGTGACATGGACCTGGGGAATGGGGGGAGCCGGGTAGACGTGTAGATGGAGTGACGTGGACCTGGGGAATGGGGGAAGCCAGGTAGACGTGTGGATGGAGTGACGTGGACCTGGGGAATGGAGTAAGCCAGGTAGACGTGTAGATGGAGTGACGTGGACCTGGGGAATGTGGGGAGCCGGATAGACGTGTCGATGGAGTGACGTGGACCTTGAGAATGGGGGAAGCCAGGTAGATATGTGGATGGAGTTACGTGGACCTGGAGAATGGGGGGAGCCGGATAGACGTGTGGATGGAGTGATGTGTGGATGTTGAGAGGTGGGAGGGCAGGTGGACAAGGTGAGGCGGTAGATGGACCATGTGGATTGTAGTGGAAATGGGAGAACGAGGAAACTCCCACGAGGCAACGGTTGACTGGGACTTCACCAGATGCTGGAGCGGGGAGTGTGTGTGTGTGGAGGGCAGTAGAGTGAGATGAGATGTAGGCAGAGGCATATCCATGGATAATGTTGAAGACAATGAATGCTATTTTGCAATTGATCTGGGATTCAATTGGGATCCAGTAGAGCAATCACAGTACTGAGGTGCTGCGGTCTTGTTTACTGGTGCGGGTGAGAAGTCTCGGGGCGATATTTTGAATCACCTGGAAATTGGAGACGAGAGATTTGAGGAGGTGCACACTGAAACTGAAGTCTTTACTGCCAATGGCATTTTTTTGCCAATATATGGAACAAATGCAAGATAAGACAGTGTCAGGACAGGATATTAGAGTGGACAGTGAGGTTGTGTTCATGTCATCAGAATATAAATCATGTATGAACATGTGAACAAGGTGAGATGCACGGATGAACTAACCAGTGAGAGAGTGACATGTGAACATGAAATGTTTATCACATGACAGTAAAGTATTTTATTTATGTATTCTGAAAGCTGGAATTTAGACAAATTGCAGAATTAAATGTAATGTAACATTTGTTTGCGATGCCATTGTTGACTGGGCTGAGACCAGCAACTCCTTAACACACCACCTGAGAACCCGGTTTGAAATCAAAGGCCAAAGAACCAACGCCTGACTGAACTCAGGCTCTCGACAGGGCCAGCTGAGCGTTTTGACATCTGAACCATCCGTCCGCCTCCCGTCATGAAGTTGAGTCGGTAACCGAGTGGCCGCACGTGTGCGCGACACACAGGCGCGTCGTTCCCGTGCTCCTCGAGCCGTGCAACGTCCCCGAGCGGCTGGGCTTCCTCACGAGGCTCGATGCTCGCGAGCCCGACTTCCTGGCTCGCCTCGTGGCGCTGGTGCAGCGGCGTGTGCCATTGATGGACGCGGACTGCAGGAGGCCCAGCCTGGAGCCCGCTCCCACGTCCGTGCCGGAGGCCCGGGTAAAATGTGCACCTGGCATTTGCATGGGGAGTGGATTCTCTACGTCGTGTTTGTCTCAAACGTGGAGGGTCATCGCATCCGGGGTTGCAGAGCCCTGCTGATGGTCAATTCCTGGATGGTGTCTAAGTAATCTAAGCAAAAGCTCAGAGCTACCAAATATCTCATGGGATCCCGGATTTATGCCGTATTGGCTTGAACTCAGATTTTGGTTATGTCGTAATTCTAAAAGCACTGCTAAAATATGGTTTTAATTGGTCTACTGCCATAATTGTTTCACACAACAGTGATACAATTGAGTTATGCAGCTTGTCCAGCAAATAATCTATGTTTTTATGTAATGCATCCACAAATAATATCTGTTTATGGCCCCGATGGGATGACACCACCTCTGCTGGGAGTGTTCTCACTATAGAGTGCAAAACCTTTTACTTACCGAGGGCCAAATATGAGTGTTTTAAAAATACATTTGTGGGGCTACTCATTAACAAACACCTCAGTCATTTCCGGTACTGCAAGAAAGAAGTGTCCTACAGTGGCACTAAAATCATAAATTAAGTGTTGCCGATTAGTGTGGCTACGATGCAAGCAGTGACTGATTGTTAAACGTCAATTGCGGGCCATTTTGCAGTGGTAGGCCCTCATGTAGCCACAGACCTCGTGAAATTCCAGTTGCGGCTGTATTCTCCAACGACTCCGCATCAGTCCTGATGTTATTTCACTCTCACGAAAAAACTATTCTCACGAGCGATGATCTCACCTGACAATAGTTTCATCGGTGGTGGGCTCAGTAAGCAATGGTCACACGAGGAATGTCTCATTGAGAAGAAATATGTGTCCGACATTATCTCATTGGCCAGTGGCGCATTTCTGTGGGTAATCAAACACTTTGTCGGCAAGGTGTGGCTCACCTTGTAGACTCGAAAAACTCCCACATCGTCCAAGCTCTGATCCGACCAGATTACAGTACAGTAAGTAAAAATGTGTTCATAAATTCACCTGTGTGTACATTTCAGTTTCATCATATCATAAGCTTGTAAGGAGACTCCTGTTTCTTCACACGTTTTAAAAAGCAACTGACCTAGAATTTTATTGGATACAGTATTTTTACAGGTTGTCTTATTAGGGTTGTTCTCAACATGCATTGTATCATCATGGTTGTTTCTTTATATGGATGGTCTCATCATGAAAGCACTCGAAGACCATTGTCATGTATATACATTCAGCGACATACCATACACCTCCGATTAGCACGGTTGGCTACACATGGTGCGAAAGATGTCCAACATGCACTGGATACGTATTGTGCAATTCCAACTCCTGCCTAAGGCCTTTGCCTCGATATTTTCTCAACACAGGTGCAGGAGCAGGACTACTTCGACGTACAGAACCACCACAGTGATGTAAAAGAAGAGACCGAGTTGCAGTCTTGCCAGAACTGCCAGGAGTGGCAGCTGAAATGCAACGCTCTGGAAAATGAGATCGCCAAGCTGGAAGCTAAAAACGGGCGACTTGTCCTGCAGAACCTGCCGCCAAGTCCAATCTCGGGAGTTCACAGCGAACAACCTCTGCCACTGGTGTCTTTTAATCAGGCCTCGGTGAAGTTGTTGTCAGTGGCAGCTGCGATGGGGATGGTGCCCTCAATTGTGTCATCCGGTCGATTCAGTTTTCTGACATGGATGTGTTCAGGAGAGTCGTTGTGTCTGATGTCACAGGGGATCTTGCTCAGCACAAGACTGTTGACTCGTGTCATGTGCAAAACGCAGCCAGGTCTGGTTTTTGAGTGACACAAAAATGACTGTTTTGATGACCTCCGGTATAAATAATAATAAGTGCATATTTCTAAATAAATATTCAGATTTTGACCTTGACGGTAACGATGGGGTGTTTTGTAAACTTGAGCCATTTCATCGCTGTAATTTCATTACAAGAACACAAATTATACTTATTTTCCAGTGGCATTTGAGCCAAGCGAGCGAGGGGCGCTCACGGTCGTGAGTGGGTTTACACTGGATATTTGTCGCGCCGAAACAAAACCACACTACGCTCGCCTCACAAGACTCATGAATATGGCTTTGGGCCAAGTAGGGCCAGTGGTGGAGGCAAATAACATCATGTTACAGTACAGTACATCTCTAACACAGCACGACGGCATGGGTCTTATTCTGCAGTGGAAATGCAACCTGGCCCGGCTCAGCACGGTCCCAGCATGGCACTGTTGGGTAGTAGAAAATAGGTATTATTACCTCCACGACAAGTAACTGAATAAAAAACGATTTAAGCATTTGTTTGAACCAGGTAAGGCTCACCAAGCTATATATAAGAACTCTGTCTTGACAGACCTGTTCTCCACCTGAGGACGGCTGCTTGCATTGTGGCCGAAACGTCGTGAGAATTATTTTATTATGTTTTATTTTTATTATTTTATTATTTCCATTCTACGTGACTTTACCGTAAGAGCCAAGAAGAATGATATTTATTTTGAATCAATAAGTCAGTGTCTCTCTGCTCAAAAACAATCATTGAGGCAACGTTCACCTCCGCTGATGCCCACTCCACATTACAATCGCGCTGCCCAGTCTCAGTAAAGGGCAATCACTACTGGCTTCTGACAAAGTGGTACGGCATTTTATTGACCCTGTAGGTCCGGAGTCAAACCCCAAACCAGGTTTTGCACTCATCAACTTCTAGAGCATATTCTTTGGCTCTTTCGGTAAAGTCACGTAGATAGGTTCAAAGAAAAGAACAAAAAAACTACGACGTTTCGATCGCAACACAAGCGTTCGTCACCAGGAAGAGGGGGTTAGATTTTCTAAAGGTAAACTGTTACTGGTAGCAACGAAGTGAACCAGCCTACAAGAGATTATATCGTCCGTCCGTCCGTGTAGCAACATCGCCCCCTACTGCAAACACTTGGCAGGACCCTACAAAAACCTTTAGACTCAGTGACGCTTTCCTGGCTAAACAAGTGTAATAATACATTATGTTTATATTCTTTGGTTATTCGTTCCTGCCAGCCCACCCCGCAGGGACCTGTTTATAAAGGTTTGAAATGGGCGTCGCCCAAATGTCAGCAGCCAATGTTAGTGAGAGTGGTGGGCAGCGACCGTGACGGTGGTGGGTTTCCCAGCCCCTTGATTGGTGAGACATCCACTGTAGGTATGTGTTTGAGGCCACATGAGTCGTGTGTGTGTGTGATTCAGGGAGTGAGACGCGAACGTGTATCTGTCAATCCATACGGGCCATCAATCCACGCTCTTTCGTTCTTTCGGTAAAGTCACGTGGGTCGAAATAGAATAAAACAAATCACGACGTTTCGATCGCAACAGAAGCAATCTTCATCAGGTGGAACAACAAAGTACGACTTTGCCTCATAACAACAATAAAATGCTGAAGTGTTCAGCATCTTAGCATTTCAGCATTTTATTGCTGTGGTTGTTCCACCTGATGAAGGTTGCTTGTGTTGCGATCGAAACGTCGTGATTTGTTTCATTTCTACCCACGTGACTTTAGCGAAAGAACCGAAGAGTAAGGGTCACCACGATTCTTGGTCCAGGGAAATTGAGCTTTTGGGTCCGTACGGCGTACAGCCGTCTCGAGACGGGCAAACACATGTTTTTGTCTATTTGTTTGTAGTTTCTACCTTGTGATGGGACTTTGTAGGATAAACGTTGAGATTTACAAGGGCACGGAGTGACCGATAGGGTCTAAATTGGTGTGTAATAAGCTAGGGCACTGATGAGGGGTTGACGGGGATGCGAGCGAATATGCGTGGAACGATCCATTGATGCCTGGAGTGTTTTATATTTGTACGTTTTTATCAAAATGATGTTATATAATGGCTCGGTTGCGTTCTGTTAACTTGTTTTCTACCCTGTATACTGTATCTTGTTTTAATAAATAATATAAAACAGAATCGATTCGTAAATAAAAGTACGACCTTGCCTCGTAACAACGCTTACAACAAATAGCCCCCGACTTTCGGGAATGTTTTATGTTCTAATCTTTGTACTTTGCGTCCACTAAGAATAAAGAACGCTTACAAGTTACAACATCCAAGTGTAGTTCACCCGATATAAACCTACCTTGAATGTCTTCGGATCGCTACAAATCTACAACTTAAAAATGTACGCTACGCACAGCAATTTGCAAATGTAATGTGAATTTATGTTTACACCATAAGGTGTATAGTGTCAGTGTTAGCCAATAGGAAAGGGCAGACATTGAAATCGTTAATGCATGGTGCATATTCATTATTTAAATGCCCAATACGAGTTACGAGGAGAGGTCTTGGAGAGCATTCAGGAATAAATGCAGACACTTTGCACGTGGGACAGTTTTGGTGCAGAGATCTGAAACACAGCATTGCTTTCGATATCAGCCACACTGCGAGATGAGACGCTTACCATGCAGCCACCACCATCCCTCAGCTCTGCGATGCTACAAATTCAATTCGCCTCTGCATATCACGCTGATATCACCGCTTTATCTACGTGGTGATGGCGTTTTTTCTCATTCAGCCGCAATTCCATCACCTTTCTTGAGCGTCCATCAGCCGTCATCCCATTTAGCGATTTATCCTGCCGAAGACAAATTCACTTGTTTCCCCAACATTATACTCTTTGGTTATTTCGGTAAAGTCACGTAGGTATCAAATAAAATATCACAATTTTATTTTATTTTATACCTACGTGACTTTACCGAAAGAACCAAAGAGTATGGTTTCATGCAGTCACGAAAGCTTCAAATCAACGTCAACATTATGTTTATGAGTTGCGTTTCTACCCTAACCCAAGGGCTCTTCTTCCTGTAGTTCGGTGTAATCTCATGCACGCACCTCTCTGTGCTGCCCAAAGAGCCCATCTGGTGGTGTATGAGAAGAATAGGTCTTCCTGGGGTATATATCCGGCTGATCCAGGATATGTATGAAGGAGGGCAAATGCACGTGCAAACCGGCTGTGGGGTGTTGGAGAGCTTTCAAGTCAAAGCGGTATTGAAGCAAGGTTCTTCTTAAGCCCATTCCTGTTCATCCTGGTGATGGACACTCACGAAAGATATTCAGAGGGAGCCCCCTGGTGGGTGCTTTTTGCAGACGACATTGTGCTATACCAGGGGTCGGCAACCAAAATAACAAGAGCCATTTCTTTCCAATTCGGTACAAAATTCAGTATTTCAAGAGCCGCAATGCATCTGAGTACATACTGTACTCACGTACATATTGTCAAGAAGCAGCCCGTAAAGAGCCGCATGCGGCTCCGGAGCCGTAGGTTGCCGACCCCTGTGCTATACGGTGAAAGCAGAGGGGTAGTGGAAGATGAGTTGAAGATCTGGGTGCAAAATATTGAAGGGAATAGGTTGAGGATCAGTCGGACAAAGACGGAGTACATGATTGCAAATTTCTGTGGAAATAATGCAGGCGCGTCGCAAATTGGAAGTGACCAATTAATGAAGACGAACGAGTTTAAGTACCTGGGTGCAACGATGTGGTGCTGAAGGATCACTGGAAGGAGAGACGAGAACAAGAACAAGGGCTGGATGGCTGAAATGGCGAGAGATGACCGGTGTGGTGTGCGATAAGAGGGTCCCAGTTATGTTGAAGGGAAAAGTGTGTAGTGTATAGTGTAGTGTGAAGGGAAAAGTGTGTAGTGTATAGTGTAGTGTATAGCACAAGACGGTGGTGGGGCCGGTGCTGTTGTATGGGGCCGATTACTGGGGCACAAGAAAGAGGGAGGACCAAGCTATGGCAGTCGCAGAGATGAGGATGTTGCGGTGGACGTTGGGTTTAACAAGGAAGGACAGATTTCGATTTAAAGCTTTCGTGACTGCAGGGATTCATCTTCTTGGTTCTTTCGGTAAAGTCACGTAGAAGGGAAATAATAAAATTATAAAAATAAAACATAATAAAATGTTACAATAAAATACAATAGCATTTTATTCTGTTTTATTTTTATTATTTTATTATTTCCCTTCTACGTGACTTTACCGAAAGAACCAAGAAGAAGGAAGGACAGGGTGAGAAATGAAGACGCGAGAGGAAGACTCAGGGTGGTAGAGATCACAGAGAAGACGAGAGAGAGAGAAAAGGTTCCGGCGTGGTTCGGTGATGCAGAGAAACAACAGGAAAATAACGTTGGTCAGAAGGTTTAAGTAATGTAAGTGAAAGGAAAGAGATCACGAGAAAGGCAGAAGAAGAGGTGGGGCGATGTGGTGCGATCGGTAACGGTGGGCCGAGAAGCAGAAAGAGAGATGGCACAGCACAGGGTAGCAACGGATCCCACATGAGTCGGACAAACGCGTGGAAGAAGAAGACCTCTCCGTGTTTTCGTGCACACTTTTATCCCAATTTTGTTCAACATCTTCAAATCTTCTTACATGTTCCGACATGTGACATCGGTGAAGGGTGATGGAAAAATCCGTCACTAACTCTGAGAGCAATAGTTGACCTCACCGAAAAACTTATATTTCTAAATCCTGCAGTGCCAGTGAAATTCAGGCCTCCTAGTTTATTTATTTTGCCAAGATGTAATCCCTTATCAATTCACATCACGCATCACTTATTTATGATCACTTTGAAAATAACTTTCTTTACAAGTGGTTCTTTAAGGTGGAAACATGCGGGAAGTAATGGGAGCTAACTCAAGTGAGTCGATTCGAATTACTTTGGATTCGGGATGGTGCCGTGATGCAATAGTTAGCGCAATGGATTTGCAATAATCCAGTTCGATTCCATATCTCGGTACGGCAGTTGAAACAACGGTGGAAGTTTCTTAATCTCCCACCAGAAATCGAATAACCACATCCGTCCACCCAGCAGAGTATATGGGTACACCGAAGGTGATTGGCAGGTTGTGTGTGGTGGGGTAAAGTGTGGGTACTCCTATCTCTTCCAATACGTCTGCTCAGAGTGGAGGAATAGGCCAAATGCCCTCCAGAGCTGCCTCTAGTGGAGGCCCTTCTGCCAGCAGTGGCGTGATCGAGCATTTGCAGGGCTGTGCCTCTATGGGTTTTACTGCATGCAGTAATTTTAGCTGTGACGGTCCCACCTGATGAAGGAGACTTGTGTTGCCTCCGAAACGTCGTGATTTATTATTTTATTTTATTCCCATTATTACTTTTATTAACTTTTAATTTTATGTTTTACCTACGTGACTTCATCGAAAAAACCTAAGAGTATTTATGTGTTTTATCTTTGCTTTGGAATGCTGTGGATTTTTTTCCAGATTTCCCCGGATATTTCTCTGTTTTTCAGATTACTCAGAATCACATTGCTTTCTAACGTTTTGTAAACAAATGTAATCAATTGGTACGATGAAACGAAGTAACAATTTGAAGAATATAATCATTGGAAAATGTACAGTCCTTTAACCTGTCACTTAGATCAGACCAATAACTTTTTGATCATCCCTGAAATGTACAGCAGAGGGTGCTGTTGTATAACTTTGCGGACATTGCGTTTTCAGTTTTGCCCCACGTGCTGGAAGCTTCTTCTTGTTCCTCAATATTTCAGCTTCTTAAATTACATTCGGTAGCTGAATATAGTTCCTGAAGCTCACATCACGTGGAACGAAACGTCGGACATTATTACGGAAGAGATTGTGTACAACTGCGAAAACCTACGCAAGTAGCGTTACTCAAATCTGTGATTGACAAGAAAATCCAATCTTAATAGAATACTGGTGCAGGCTGGAAAATCACACGTTTCAAACAAGGAGCATAAAATGTGTAAAAGCACACAGCCTCTGCGCATATGCAAAACGTCATTAGCAATTACTTAAGAAGTGCATCGTAGTCTTTTTCACCATCAAATTAATTTGGAGCAAATGTGGCCGACTGACAGCAGTAGCAGTGATGCAGTGATAGACAACTGTGGACCGGTTGTTGTACTTCTTAGGCCCCATCAGCATAGTTCCGTATGGTCAACAATGCTCACTAACTGCTGCAAAGTCTTCCTCTGCAAACCATACATGTGGAGTCCCCAGTTCCACGCCACAGGACTCATTGGCTCGTGGCCCACGCCAACAATTAATCAAATGACGAGTCAAACCAACGAGAAGAGATTGATAGTGAAGTATACGTAAATAAAGACATTATTGGCACTGGTGGGACGGAATCGTGGACGGCTGTGGACAAAACCCTCATTGACTGGAAGCCCGGAGCTTCTCTCTCCCACGACCACTGTAGACTTCGCTCCACCACGCCCAAACGCCGCGTGGGAGATGGCGCGTTCACGCTCCACAAAAGGACAATCGAAGAATCGCCAAACTGCTGTGACTGTGGTGGTGGTGGTAGTGAAGTCCGAGCCATCAAACGGAGCGTAAACGAATGCCCCATCCACGGACATCCTGCTGGTGTTGCTGCAATTCACACAGCGACTCCTTGGATTAGTTAAAACGAACTTAACATTCAACTATGACACGTTACAAAAACTGATGCTTTCCCCTCCTGTCATACCGAAATGAGAAGAAACGCAGGAGGCGTTTAACAAAAATGTCTCTCCTGTTCTCATGTGTGCCGCTGGACGGGCGGTGATGGGCATGGATTGGTGACGTCAACGACATCGTCAGCTGTGTTGCCCTGGGGGCGGCTTGTATGAGGTTTCCTGCCTTCTGGAGGCAGGATGTGAGCGCAGCCGCCATTTATCAAAGGGGTCTGAGTAAAATCGATGACAAAAAAAAATTCAATGACAATTTTGGTGGTTAATTGGCTCATTGTCCCAGCTCGACTTCCAGGCTGCATGGGACATTGTAGAATATCTTGCGAGGGTACAATCTTCCTGCAACTGCGAAGCACACTGGTAGCAGTGGCATGATCGAGCATTTGCAGGGCTGTGCCTTTATGTGTTTTAGCTTTGCTTTGGAATGTTGTGTTTTTTTTTTAATCCTTTATATTAAGTTCGCTTGCTTGCTTGCTTGCGTGCTTGCTTGCTTACGACCGTGCAAATCTTTCGGTCGTTTTTTTTAACCCACTTCCCGTGATCCAATCGAGCTGACATTTTGCACACAGACTCGTTGTGCGAGACAATTAATGTTCGTGAATTTTTTTTCTCCAA